AATCAATTCTCATTTTCAACCATACATTCTTCAATAAAATAATATTTTCTATCAAATCAATAATTTTTTCTTCTTTTTCAACCACACATTTCCCATCATATCACTATTCAAAATCAATTCTTCCCTCAAAAAATCTCTACCAAACACACACTACAACAAATTTACAGTAATAACCTAACCGTGTGTTTGATTATAAACATAGAATTTGTATGAAAATAAAATAAATTATAGAGAATTCAATTATTTACAAATTATTAATTAAATATATTTGATTAATTTTTTTTTCAACCTAAACATATTATATTTGTTCATTTTTTATTGGTGGATAGATTCTCAGAGAAAATTGATATATGAGGGAGAGAAAGTCAGAGTGAATTACTTGAAAAATAAAAACCACTTCTCCCTAAATAAAATATTTTCTTTGTTTTCAAGTAAAATATGATCACTTGACCAAAAGTAGGAAAATATTTTTCATGAAAAATATTAGCAATAAAATGCATTCTTTTTTATTTCCTTTTTCTCTCCACCTTTCTAATTGTTCCTGGACAAGCATAGGATACCCACACCCACCAGCTCAATCCTCTGCTTTATTAACATCTTATGATATCTATATTCCAAAGGTCTGCTCTGGAGTTATGGTTACTTACTATGTGTTTTTTTTTTTTTTTCAAAATAATTGTGCTACATATATATAATGACTTCAATTATACTACATGTACATCATTTTTTTATATCATTGTTTACATTGTCACATGGCAGCACGCAATTGGACACTTTTTTTTTCTTTTTAAAAAAAACCTTTTCAACCTATATTTTTTTGAAAACATGAGTGATATAAAAAACAATGTAAAGTAAAGAATGTATATTTAGCATTATTGTAATTGTTTACCTATATATGATGTAGTGAGATATAATTGGATCAAAATTTCTTAAATCAAATAAAAATAAATAACTTTCTCACTCTCTTTTTACACCTTATCTGTATGTACAGTATCATTATTCTTTTTAAAATATTTGCTTTGGACATTTATGAAGGATATGATTTTATATAATTTTTAATAGTAATTTTTAAAAGAGTCCAATCCTTGCTTAAAAATTTATTATCCAGCGGTTCTATAAAATTTTAAAAGCATAAAATTACTTTATAAATTATTTTTATTATTCATAAGTGATATTTTATTTATGAGTAAGACATATAAATTAATTTTTAACTCAAATAGTAAAATATTTACTTATAACAAAATTTTTAATTTATAAGTAAATTTTACAGTATAGTAAATGTTTTGCTTATAACTTTTTATGTTTTAAAAATGATTTTTTATCTTAATAGCTGTATTTTTTACTTTATAAACAATTTTTTATATAAAAAATATTTTTTTCTTATAAGACATTTTTTATAAGTAATTTTTTTTCTTACAGATAAAGTTTTTTAATGATTGTATTTTTATTTATAAGCAATTTTTTTTATGTATAATTGAATTTTTGTCCTGTAAAATTATCATTTTTTAAAAAGGTAGAATTGGAAGAAAATTGACAAAGGCCAAAATCACCTTTGTTGTAGGTTCAGAAATACTACCCAAATTATGCTACACTAATTTCGGGTGATAATTAAATTTTCGAAATTAGTGTCGAAAAAATTAACGAGAGCTGATTTTTCGTACCTCTAACAAACGATGACGCATAAAAACAATCAAAATCAAAGAAGAAAAACTTTCGAGCAGGCATTATATAATCATGCTCGCATAGCATTGAAGATGGTATGATTTCAACATGCAAGAAACTCACCCAAATCACAAGATAATTATTCTTGTAATTGATAGTTAGATTTACACCAATTTTTGTAAAGGTACCTAGATATTGTGGATTTCCACGTCTTTTAACTCAAATGGACTAGAGTAAAATGTCTCATTACTCACTTAGCTCATACTATGGTTATGGTTTACTCATCAAACTACATTTCAAGGGTCAAACCATTATTTGCCAGATTTCGTTCCCCCTCGATACTACATGTCACACGAAAATCCTACTTGAAGAGTTACGATCACTTAAAAAATTACAAATCAACCAAACCTTCCAACTCACCAAAATCGTGTGTGAAATACGACTTCTACTACCCCATAAGCTTCTTTGAGCCCCATAAAACCTGGCCCCAATTCATTCATCTCTCCTACTTATAGCTAAATTGTGTGCTAAGACATTATCGATTTTTGAGGAGGATGAGAGAAGCTACTATTTATGAAGTCTTATTCCTCAATTGAATCATCTGTT